CTCCAACTCGAGAGGTTCAGCTGCCTCCTATACTGGAGCCTGCAGCAAGGGCTTCAATTTCATTTGCCCAAGAGAGAAGAGCAATGGTGGTAGCACATTCTTAGAGAGGGCTACTTGCATGCGGGCACGGCCTGAGCAGCTCCAGGGCAAGGACACACCGTCTGCGGTGCTTCCTTCTCTCTTCCTCACGCGTGGGGGCCATCATCTCGTCCATCTCAGAGGCCCTTTCCCGTGAAGTAACCCTACTCAGAGAGAACTGATCCAGGAAGGGCTTTAGATCAGACCCCAGCCAGTCTGCTTTGCTCCGGGACTGGCTGGAGTCTGGATCCGTGTAGATGTTTTGAGGCAACTAGTAGGAGGTTTAAAGAAGTCATCTATGGTGTTAGTTTATTCATTCACTCATTCATTCATTCAGCCCATGGATATATATTGAGTGGCTACTCTGTGCCAGACAGTAGGATTGAAGCAGATACTGGTAGGTGAGGGGCACTGGCCACGTGAAGCTGACAGTCCCTTAGAACATCCTGGAATGTCTGGCTATAAGCAGGTGATCCCAGTGCTGTGTCTGGTAACAAGGAAGGGGAGGGTGCTAAGGAGACAAAAGTTGGGGCCGGAGCAGCCCCACCTGTGCTGGGGAGGGGGTGCACTGGCAAACCTTCCTCTTGGTTGCCATCTACCTTGGGGTGTCCAGCAGAGCAGACAGCAGTGGAAAGTGAAGGTTGGGGACCTTGGCGCATACTAGAAGGAGAGGATGGGCTGGAGAGGAATCAGGGCCAATACCAAGGTGGACTTCAGGGTTGCTTTGGGGAATTTGAGCTCTCTTCTAAGCTGGATGAGAAGGCCCTGAGGGTGTAGCAGGGTTGGGATCGGGGATTAACCTGACTAGCTTGCCAATCACTAAGGATGTGGGGATGGGGTGGTTTCTTCATGGAGAATAGATGTGAGGCACTGGAGCAGGGGCTTACTGAGGAGAGGGGGGTGCTAGTGGCTGTGCAGGCTGGTGTTCGAGGGGACAGAAGGACGGACAGAGCCTGTTACAAAGGCTTCGTAGCAAGCTTCTTGCTGCTGGATGTGACCTCCAAGTACTCTCTTCCCAAAGGAGACAGTGAGCACCTATTGCTCACCTACTGTATGCAAAACCATGATAATGTTAGGACACCTGACTTTTGATTTCAGCCCAGATCATGATCCTGGGGTCATGGGATCGAGCCCTGTGTCAGGCTTTGTGCTGAGCATGGAACCTACTTAAGATTGTCTCTCTCGCTCTCTCTCTCTCTCTCTCACTCTCTCTCTCTCTCAATCAATCAGTCAATCTCCTTCTCTTTCCCTTGCCCCTCCCACACTCGGTCTTGGGTTCAAGCGCTGTCTGCCTCTTTCTCTCTCTCTCTCAAATTAAATAAATCCATACATACATAATAAATAAATAAGTAAAACTGTGACAATGTAGAACGGGGTCCTTGCCTTGGAGAATTCAGACAAGAGCATACAGAAAGTTAAATAGCAGCAAAGAATTCAAGTAGTGTTCACAGTGGCCAAGCTTCCTGAGGCTCCGTCTGCGTGATTAACTGTCAGGTCCAGGTAGGGGATGGTGCCTGCCCTGGGCTCCCAGGGAGGAGAAGCTCCTGAAGGCCAGCATGGTGGGGATGGGGATGAGCTTCTCACCCAGCCCACCCAGCCCCAACCCCCTGGTTGACTTCCCACTATCCCCTTGACAGTGACTAGAGACACCTAGTGTCTCTCCTCTCCTTGCCTGACCTGGACATTAACTGTCCCGCCGTCTGGGAACACTTGCTTCTATCCAGCCAGGGATTTTACTCCTTAGCCCCAAGAAGAAAGGACTAAGAGATGCCTTGGTTAGTGCTCAAGAGGAGCCCGTGCTTGGAGGAGTGAGCACGTTTCCAACTCAGTTTACCTTTTTCTCAGAAAAGTTGTAAATAGAGAAGTAGACACAGGATGACCCAACTGATCCTATGCCCTGCCTCATACAGGGAATGGGGAAATTGAGGCCTTGGGAAAGAACGTGCCCTGCCACCTCATGCACCACCTCACCTGGCATGTGTGGGCCCAAAGTAAATGTACCGTTCTTTCTCCTCTAATTCTCCCCAACCTCACAATGTTTCCGAGTTTAGTGACAATTTACTTTAGCGTGGAGAGAAGACCCGGTGGGGAGAAGTCTAGGCTCAGCCTAAGGTGATACTCCTCACCGCTGACTCTGTAAAGAAAATGGCGGTCTTCGTAGGTGGTGAGGTCCCTGTCACAGCGGTGTGCGAGTGCGCGTATCAAGAGCCTCAGAAACCACCATAAGGTCAAGAGTGGTGTGCGGGGTGATGCCAGGTCTCCCTAGGACCCAGTGCCTGTCAGCACCAGAGCTATTTAATTTTCCTCAGAACAGAATTCTGTTCCCACCAGGGAGGTTGGCCTTACTTTTCTTTCAATAATTGTTTTCTCCTCAGTCACCAGACCGGTGGCGTTCTAAGATGGCAGTGTGATTCACAAAGCATGTTGGAGTGCGGCGGCGGCGGGGGGCCCGCTGGGCGCAGGAGCTGGTCAGACGGTACAGGGCCTGTGCGGTGCTCCAGGTGGCCCATGGGCGGTGGCTTCCACAGGGGCTCCCATTTTCTGGGGGTGGACTGGCAGAGTCACTAGGTTTCTCTTCGCTAGGAGTCTTTGTGCCTCAGTGGGCTCCCGTGTCTGCCACAGGCCCCTGCTTCTCCCTGCTGCCCAGCGTCCTCCCATAGCTGCCCCAGGTAGGGCCATTTCTAGATTGCTGCCTCTTGCAGACTTAATTCCGCGAGAGCCATCATGACAGCAAAGGGCACAGAGTGTGGGCTCATGTTGCCAACTGTGGCTCAAAGGACCCCCTTCAGGAGAGAAGGGGCTCTGGGGTCTATCTCTGTTTCCATAAGGCCAGGCTTTCCCTCACATGTCAGGTATGGGGACATAGGCCGTGCGGTTTCCTCCTGCCTCCCCACGTGTTCAAAATGAAGCCCCTTTGATGGAAACACTATGCGTCTGGGCCATCTCTGCAGACACTGGGCTGCATCTAGTTAAATCTCTGTCACTCTCTGCTCCAGTTCTTCTCTGAGAGGAATGCGGGCCCGCCGGGGTGCTCTGGCCTGTGGATGCCATGTGGCCCCTTGCGAGAGCCACTGGCTGACCTGGTGTGCCCAGGTCTAAGAGGATTCTCAAGATGCAGGACTTTCAGCTCTGACATCAGGGTAGTTCCGGGGAAACTGACTCCTGGTCGCCCTCCATCCCTGGCTGCCTTACATACCCCGGCCCATACGAATGTGTGTCCTGGAAAGGCTATTCCCATCCTGGTTCCAGTGCCCTCAGTTAGGATGTCACCGTCGGTCCTTGACTCTCAAAGGGAGACTTAGGAATGGAAGAAAAATCACACTTTACCAGGATGGAAGAGCAAGTGGGGAGGGGAGATCTATGCATCTTCAGGGGAATCTTACATGCGAGGGTCATGTCACTGTTTTTTATCCCCCCCCGACCAGTGTCAAATCGATAGGAGGCAAATCTTTAAAATTCTGCAAGTAAATTCCACAAACGAAGCTTCCTTTTCTTTTGTGAGAGTTTGTCTTCAGTTTTGTTTGGTTTGGGTCAAGCCGTACACTCAGCACTGTAGCATTCGGGCCACCTGTCACACTCACCCGGCGGTCTTCCGAAGCAAACACACTGAGAAGCTGATGGGAAGTAGTCACTTCTTTCCCTTTGTCTGGCTTAAAACTGTTACTCTCCAGAGGGCTGGCCATGCCTGATCATTCAGGAGACCAGCCCAGCTAGCCTCAGGGTTAAGTTAAACAACCTAAGTTGTAAAGAACAACCTAAGTCATGGAACGCAAGGAATAAAAAAAAAAAAAAAAAAAAAAAAGAAAAGAAAAGAAAACACTTTATTCCACGAACACAACTGCTCTCCTGGCTTTGTGTCCCTGGATGTGTCTGTTCTAGAACCCACCGCTGCTCAGCCCTGCCCTCCACCTGCTTGGGAAGTGCACACTGGATTTACATCCCCAGTTACATTGCTTCCAGAAAGACAAGATCCCTGTCGAATGCCCGTGAAGCTTATGCTGAGTAAATATTGACAAAGTAGTCTAAAGAGCAAACACTTTGACATTTGTAAGGTCCACTGGAAGGTCTTGTATATATTTATACAGCAGGAATGAGCACCGCATACCAATTTCCCTGAACTTCTTCTGACATAATTCTGCATGGATAGTGTGTGTGCAGGTGGCTGAGAAAACGGCTGAATATTCACATGGCGGACAGGGCCAGGGCTGGGTCATGGTCTTTACCTCCCATCGGGAACAAACAGGCTCCTATCGCTTGGTAGGAAAACTTACTGCAAGCTTTTATGAGACCTAGTTTTCCAGAAGGAATGAAGGGAAAAAAAATCAGCCACGAAACCTTGCTTTTCATTTATTGCAATTGACGTACTTTCTTTTTACTTCGTAAAAATTTTATTGATGTTTTCGTACTTTGTATTTATTAAAGATTGAGCCTCAAAAATGTAATGAGTAAAAAATGCTTGCTTAATTTAAATTGTGAATCTGTCTGTTAAGAAATGCATTAGGGGTAGGAGAAGCATAAGACATATTAATTGACAGACAGGAACTGCTGTCTCTGAAGTTGATACAAGTAATTTATTACTTTAGAAATGAATGCCACCTCCAGAATGTGCTTCATTAATTTCAAATTTAGTTTTAATTTCAAGCTGTTGCCCCTTGAGAAGAATAAGGTGGCAAATTATGTTTGAAGAGCAGATTTTTTTTTTTTTTTTTTGCTCCAAAGAAACACCACATTTTAACTATTTAATTTTACAAATACACGTGCCTGTCTACTTTGCTGCGTTTTTCCTGAGAGTCGAGAACCTTTTCTAGGTAAGGTCAACATGTAACTAATGCTTCTTTTTTTCTTTCTTTCTTCTCTCCTTCTTCCCCGTCTCTCTCCTTTCTTTCCTGTCCGTCCCGCCTTCCCACCTGTGACCACGGCAGCCTATGTTTCCGATGAGTTAAAGGCTGCCGCCCTGGTAGAGGAAGATATAGACCCCGAGGAGAGCACGGCAGATGGGGAGCCCTCGGCCAAGTACATGTGCCCGGAGAAGGAGCTCGGCAAGAGCTGCCCCAGTTACCAGAACTCCCCGGCGGCTGAGTTTTCTAGCCACGAAATGGACAGCGAGTCCCACATCAGTGAGACCAGTGACCGGATGGCCGACTTTGAGAGCGGCTCCATCAAGAACGAAGAGGAGACCAAGGAGGTGGCGGTCCCCCTGGAAGACACGACCGTGTCGGACAGCCTGGAGCAGATGAAGGCCGTGTACAACAACTTCCTCTCCAACTCCTACTGGTCCAACCTGCACCTCAACCTGCACCAGCCGTCGTCGGAGAAGAACAATGGCAGCAGCAGCAGCAGCAGCAGCAGCAGCAGCAGCTGCGGCAGCGGCAGCTTCGACTGGCACCAGAGTGCCATGGCCAAGACCCTGCAGCAGGTGTCGCAGAGCCGCGTGCTGCCCGAGCCCAGCCTCTTCAGCACCGTGCAGCTGTACCGGCAGAGCAGCAAGCTCTACGGCTCCATCTTCACGGGCGCCAGCAAGTTCCGCTGCAAGGACTGCAGCGCCGCCTAAGACACGCTGGTGGAGCTGACTGTGCACATGAACGAGACGGGGCACTACCGTGACGACAACCACGAGACCGACAACAACAACCCCAAGCGCTGGTCCAAGCCCCGCAAACGCTCCTTGCTGGAGATGGAGGGGAAGGAGGACGCCCAGAAGGTGTTGAAGTGCATGTACTGCGGCCACTCTTTCGAGTCTCTCCAGGACTTGAGCGTCCACATGATCAAAACGAAACACTACCAAAAAGTGCCTCTGAAGGAGCCCGTCACTCCCGTCACAGCCAAAATCATCCCTGCCGCCCGGAAGAAGGCTTCACTGGAACTGGAGCTCCCCAGCTCCCCGGATTCCACGGGCGGGACCCCCAAGGCTGTGATGTCGGACACCAACGATGTGCTTCAGAAGAACTCCAACCCCTACATCACGCCAAATAACCGGTACGGCCACCAGAATGGGGCCAGCTACGCGTGGCACTTTGAAGCCCGGAAGTCCCAGATCCTAAAGTGCATGGAGTGCGGCAGCTCCCACGATACCCTGCAGGAGCTCACCGCCCACATGATGGTCACCGGCCACTTCATCAAGGTCACGAACTCAGCCATGAAGAAGGGGAAGCCCATCATGGAGACGCCCGTCACGCCCACCATCACAACCCTGCTGGACGAGAAGGTGCAGTCCGTGCCCCTGGCTGCCACCACCTTCACGTCTCCCGCCAACACCCCCGCCAGTGTCTCCCCGAAACTGAATGTGGAGGTCAAGAAGGAGGTCGACAAGGACAAGGTGGTCCCCGACGAGAAGCCCAAGGAAAAGGAGAAGCCCTGTGAAGAAGAGGAGAAATACGACATCTCTTCCAAGTACCACTATTTGACTGAGAACGACTTAGAGGAGAGTCCCAAGGGGGGACTGGATATCCTGAAGTCCCTGGAGAACACCGTGACGTCTGCCATCAACAAGGCACAGAATGGCACTCCCAGCTGGGGGGGCTACCCCAGCATCCACGCTGCCTACCAGCTCCCCAACATGATGAAGCTGTCCCTGGGCTCGTCGGGGAAGAGCACGGCCCTGAAACCCATGTTCGGCAACAGCGAGATTGTGTCTCCCACGAAAAACCAGACCCTGGTCTCTCCTCCCAGCAGCCAGACCTCGCCCATGCCCAAGACAAACTTTCACGCCATGGAGGAGCTGGTGAAGAAGGTCACTGAGAAAGTCGCCAAAGTGGAAGAGAAGATGAAGGAGCCAGAGGGCAAGCTATCTCCGCCAAAGCGAGCCACCCCGTCACCGTGCAGCAGCGAAATCAGTGAGCCCATCAAGATGGAGGCGTCCAGTGACGGGGGCTTCAAAAGCCAGGAAGACAGCCCCAGTCCCCAGCGGGACGGCTGCAAGGAGGGGAGCCCCCCGGCAGAGCCGGTGGAGAATGGCAAGGAGCTGGTGAAGCCCATGAGCAGTGGCCTGAGCAGCAGCACGGCCATCATCACCGACCACCCGCCCGAACAGCCTTTCGTTAACCCTCTGAGCGCCCTTCAGTCGGTCATGAACATCCACCTGGGCAAGGCCGCCAAGCCCTCCCTGCCTGCCCTTGACCCCATGAGCATGCTTTTCAAGATGAGCAATAGCCTGGCCGAGAAGGCGGCGGTGGCCACGCCTCCGCCCCTGCAGTCCAAGAAGGCGGACCACCTCGACCGCTATTTCTACCACGTCAACAACGACCAGCCCATAGACTTGACAAAAGGGAAGAGTGACAAGGGCTGCTCTTTGGGTTCAGTGCTTTTGTCACCCACGTCCACATCCCCGGCAACCTCCTCATCCACGGTGACAACGGCAAAGACATCTGCCGTCGTATCATTCATGTCAAATTCGCCGCTACGCGAGAATGCCTTGTCAGATATATCCGATATGCTGAAGAACTTGACAGAGAGCCACACGTCAAAGTCCTCCACTCCTTCCAGCATCTCCGAGAAGTCTGACATTGACGGGGCCACTCTGGAGGAGGCCGAGGAGGCAACGCCCGCGCAGAAGAGGAAGGGCCGCCAGTCAAACTGGAACCCCCAGCAACTGCTGATCCTCCAGGCCCAGTTTGCCGCCAGCCTCCGGCAGACCTCCGAGGGGAAGTACATCATGTCAGACCTGAGCCCCCAGGAGCGCATGCACATCTCGAGGTTCACCGGGCTCTCCATGACCACCATCAGCCACTGGCTGGCCAACGTGAAATACCAGCTTCGAAGGACAGGTGGAACAAAGTTCCTCAAAAACTTGGACACCGGCCACCCCGTGTTCTTTTGTAATGACTGTGCGTCGCAAATCAGGACTCCTTCCACGTACATCAGTCACTTGGAGTCACACCTGGGCTTCCGGCTCCGGGACTTGTCCAAACTGTCCACCGAACAGATTAACAATCAAATAGCACAAACCAAGTCGCCCTCAGAAAAATTGGTGACATCCTCCCCGGAGGAGGACCTGGGGACCTCCTACCAGTGCAAACTTTGCAATCGGACCTTTGCGAGCAAGCATGCCGTTAAACTTCACCTTAGCAAAACACACGGGAAATCCCCAGAAGACCACCTTCTGTACGTTTCTGAGTTAGAGAAGCAGTAGCATTTGCTTTTGATTAAAATGACTGTAATTTGCTTTGAGGGAAACTGTTGCAGGCACCTTAAGGCCCTTCTGTCTTGTTCTTGGCACATGTTCTTATTTTAACTGCAGAGAATCACTCTGGGCAGGACTGTTTTGTATAACTGTACAGTGTTTAATAGAGGTGCATAATCAGCTGTTGTTACTGGTAAAATATGAAGGTTAAGACGCAGTGGTAAGTGTTTGGAACTTTGTGTAAATGGGATTTAGTTGTGAGCATCCCCCGATGCTTCAAGCTGCATGCATTAACAGACAGTTTAATTAAGCATTTATAACGAAATCGGGCACACTTTTTCCACGCGGCTCGAGTGTGCTGGCATTTCTCACCCTTTCATCTTTAGCCCTCTGAGTACTTTGAAGCACTTTTGCATTAATTTGGTTAAAAAATAAAATAAAAGAATAATAATGTATGAAAGCTCTGTTTTTTAAACTCCTTACCAGCTTAGTTATAATTAATAATATGAACCTCCATTTATGCAGGTCTGCAGGGGTATATAACACGCCTTGAAATTTAAAAGAATATTATTTTCACATTGAAACATAGATGTATATATTGTATAGATTTCAGACTCTCTTATGAAAAATGTGATTGTGGTTAAAAATGACCTTTTTTCCTGCATTTATAGCAACAGTGTTTTATGTACCTGCTATGCTCTGGGCATAAACCGTGCCTATGTATAGTGTATATTTCTTTTTCTTTTTTTTTTAAGTCTATGGGTTTTGTTTGTTTTTTTTTTACATGCAAACATTGTAAATTATACAGAAGATACCACAGATAGCATTTATAAAGTATACAGAAACATTATCTGAAAGCAAAGTATGATTCTCTGTTTTGCTATACAGTACATCTATATTGATAGAGGTTCATGTTTAAATTATACATATTTATTAGCATCATGTTATCATTTGTTTTGAGCAGTCTGAATAAACGAGGCCAGGAAATACATCCGTGGCGGGCATCATAAATATTTTGCACATGATTTTTAAAGGTATTTATTAGAAGTCCAAGAACGCTCAAAATAAACTCAGTGCTCAAAGGGTTAAGTCTATTTGAAAAGGCAAAAAAAAAAAAAAAGAGCAAGAGCAACAAGGAGAACTTGTACTGTATTTCCTAAGCATTGATAAAGCCTTTAAAATGTTTGTACTGTAATACTTTGCTTAAAAGTCATGAGGCATTCTGTGATACAACCTCTTTCACTTCCTTAGAAGCCCTCTCGGTTGCTATTTCATATTGTAGGATGCCTTTTTATTTCGATGGGTAACTTTCTGTTTTGTTCTTCCTAATTATTCTCCCAAGATCCCACACTGCAGCTTTATCTTTAGGCTTATGAAAGGTAACCCGTGGTTACCGGCTCTCCAAGTGATTCTGTTCTTCTCCATTTTTGGCAGTTAATTTGCAGAAGTAACTGACAGCTGACACCATACGACAACCTATGTATAAAATATTGGCATGTAAACAGCACAGACACTGTAACACACTCTGTCCCCTGTTTTCCTGTTGACAATGAACCACCATTATGTGACTCTTCATATAACCCTTTTTTCTACGGCAGCATTAAAATTGTCTTTTTGCTATAATTTTGTGTTGCGTTCACAATTATGTCTGAAATGTGCTACGACTAACGAGCACATTAAAATTAAATTGTATGCGATCTGTTTATGACTGAGTTGGTTGCTGTGTCTGCCAGGTGCTGGCAGTCGGAAACTGCCCGTAAATCACGGGAGTTTTAGTGAACTTTGGCGTGTGGAGAGCAGGGAGCCCTCTCAGAGGCTGCGTGGACAGAATTTTCCCCGAGAATAAAATGTTAAAGAAAGGAAGACATTTCACATGAGGTCGGCTGCTCTCGGCGAAAGTGAGCTTCTAAAATATCAGTAGAGGAGCCCCAGGTCAATACCTGGGGATCCTCCTGGGGGCCGGGGGTTTGATCTCCCTTCTGGACAGTGAGGAGCCAGGGCCTGAGCCCTGCAGGAGGCAGGTTGGGGGAAGGAAGATCTTTGCAAGACTCGGTGTGGGGCGGTTCCTTCCTGTTGATTCAGAATTTTCAAGTAGCAGCAAACAGCTGAGCTGGGCAAGGTGGACTCCGGGGTCCGGGGCTCTCTCTGCTGTGCGGAAGCAGCCCCAGATAAGGAGGTGTGCAGGGTGGCGGTGGGGAGGGGTGGCGACTGAACCCCTCACGGGAAGAGTGGAGAGAGCATTTATATGATAATCACAAGCTTTTATTAGCCCTGGCAAATCATGCCAACAAAACGCTGGGTACATCATGTAAAATTGTAAAATACCTTTATTACTACATTCAAAGTAGTCTTGCAGTTATGCAGAATCGGAGCTCCTAACCTAGAATTATACAAATGAGAGATGTATTACATCCATGTAATACATAAAACACCTCAACTAAAAAAAAAAAAAAAAAAAAAAAAAAAAACCTCTTTTATTAAAAATTTAAATTAAACCCTTTCAGAGATGTTCGGCAACACGCCTACGTCTTCTTCCCGTTCATCCCCGCCCCTTTTGTCAAGATGAGTCCAAAATTTCTGTCTGCTCTACTTTCTGTCGGCAATCCATGTCTCTCCGGGTTTTTAGAGAGAACCTCACTAGAGTTTAAGACGGGTTTTTGGCAAATAGGGAGTGTCTTTCTGGCTGTGCTCTCGCCTGCTGATGCGGCCGCACAATTGGGCTGTGCCCGCGGGCGGGGCACAAAGGGCTTTCCCTTCTGGGTGGCGGGCCTGGCTCCCTCCCCACCTCCTCCTCGGCCCTAGTCCCTCCTTGAGTAGATGTGCGCCCCAGGGGGGCCTTTACCTGGGAGGTCTGGGGGACACAGTGCCTTTCTCTGGGGGCCCCGCTCCCCCCCGGAACCTGGCTCAGGGGACAGCACCCTCCCTCCCATGCCTTCAGCATCTTCACATCCTGGAGCCCAGATTTCCACTCTTGAATTTTTCACAGGTTAAATATAGCATCGGTTTATTAGAATCCAAAGTCCTGCGTCTAACAGATTAAACTGACAACACTTCCATCACCACCAGGGCCCATGTGGCTTGGAGGGAGATGGGGTTTGTGCATGCGAAGGTGCCCCCCCAGCCCCCTGCTTTACAGTTTGGGAGAAGAACCTGACGCTCCGCCCATCTCCTCACCCCACCCTGGGATTATCCTCAGGACTTTTCACTTTCGGTGTGGGAGTGAGAGTTTAGAGCCAAGGTAGGTACCAGGTGATATCACCCATTTGGCACCTAGGGCTCAGAGCCAGGAAAGGAGCACTCATAGGAGGGGAGCCCAGAACTGAATGTCACCTCAGAAGGAAATACAGTGAGCTGGGGAGTTCAGGGCTCTAAGCGTGAGCACAGATGTAATTTGGCAAAGTGACTGCCCCCCAAAACTGTGCATCCTGGGACGGGGTGGGGCCGGGGGCTGGCTAAGGCCAGTTGCAGTCTCCAATGCCCTTGAAAACGCAAGGCCCTTTGCTCCGAAGGTCGCCGAACCCCTATGGGTTGGAGAGCTGGCCGCTGCCCGGAAGAGCCTTCCATTCTGGCCCAGAATGCCTCTGATTTTCCGGAGCCAAAACGGCCAGATCTAGGGTGGCGTTCCCAATCTAACGTAGTCGTGCGCTGGGTCTCCGGCTGGCGCTGATAGAGAATGCCAGTGCGGGCCCGGCTGGGGCCTCCCGGTCAGGTCTCTACAGGGGCCGTGGGAGGAGGAGGGGCAGTGCCAAGGGAGGGCGGTTTTAATCACAGGTGTGTAGGTGACCCCGACCTCACCCCGCCCCAGCCCAGGCTTGTTGCAGCCCTACTGTATATCTTCCAGCCATCACATTTACACAGTATCTTAAAATAACATTTGTGATAAATGTGCAATTTAACTAATTTATGGTGCTATGATGTGCTCAGGGCTACATGCAAGATGAAAATCTTAAATGGAGCTTGAACAGCTCACTTCACAACAAGAAATCAATATGCCACATCTTAGCTATTCGCTGCAGTCAACATTTAGCAAAAAATATCAGTGATGTATCTTTAAGTTTTAGGCAGCAAGAATTCTATAATTAACCAAAATCGTACAGAGTTAGAGAGAGTTGGTTATGATGAGGACCCAGATCTCCCTGGCATCTCCGTTCTATTTTCATTCTGCAAAGGGAAAAAAATATATATATTGATAGCCAGCAAAGAGGCGCTTCTCCCCAGGGTGCTCTGTGCTCAGGTCGAAGCACGAGCTTCCCCCCCACCAACCCAGCAGAATTCAGGGCTGTGGGCTCGGCCACCTCAGAAGGGTTCCTTTTCTCAAGTTCAGAGGCTCCAGCTAGGTGGACTGCCCTGCCCCCATGCCCCGACCACCTGCTGTGCCACAGGCCAGGTGACCCAACAAACCCTGAAAAAGGAAAACGGCTCTATTGCCAGTGCTGGAGAGAGCTGAGATCCTTGAGAAGCAGAGCCCTGAAGCCAGGAGCTTGACCATGGAGAAGGACAGGAGCTGATGGGAAAGCATGGCTGCACTTTAACTTCTGAGGTTAAAGCTGTGGTCTCCACAGATTTCTAAGTCGTCTAATAGAAAGAAAAAAAAAATGAAATGATTTTACTTTTTCAAATTCATCCGTGAAGTTCTTTTGAAATTGGAAAATTGCGATGGCATTCTCTTCTGTTGACTATTTAGCACAAAAACAATACACTTCGTATTATAGGAAGCAATCATAAAAATGAAAACACGCGAACCCTGGCACCACTCTTTAATAATAAATACTTTAACTTTAAAATAATAGCTATTATCCTTTTAGCTAATGGAGAAATTACCATTTTTACTCTGCCAGATAGTTATTCTTTTGGTAATAGAAACACTAACCTTTTTTCTCCCTAGGGATTTATTAGTAAGCACGTGTAATCTCTGGCAAAAGGAAACCTGAAAATGCATTTCCCCTGGGACCCCATGCCGGTCGATGCCTTTCAGCCTGGAGCTGACCTCGGGGAGACACAGAAAAGGTACTCATGCTCACGCGCCCACGCAATTCTGGGGTGCGCTGGCCTTTGCAGAATAGGCTATAGTTAGCTATGGAAACAATCTCGCTCCTCTAGGGGAAGGCTTCGGCTCTGTCTCTTAGCATAAAGCTTCTGGGAAGAAAAGCTCCTTTATGACAAACCCGACCTTCCTGTGCAGTGTGGCAGCCTTGTCGCTGCCGAGGGCTGGACTGCCTGTGTCAGCACGGAGCAGCGGTCCGACGCGGGGTTTTGTTTCCAGGGAGGTGCTGATTTTCCTCACACTCCGTTGGGTTTCTCCAAGCCCGAGGGAGATGCTGTTGGACTTACAGACACCATTGTTCTGTCCTCAAGGATTTGACAGGAGGCCATCCTCCGCCCCCACCCAGGAGGATTTAAAAGGCAAGCAAACTCTGTAACGGGTGGGCTTTGACAGTTCCAAGGGCATCACGAAACACCTTTGATTTGGGACCGTGTTACCTTTCCAGCCAAGACAGTGGATTTGGCAGATTGTTGGTCAGTGGCCTGATAGTCCGTGATGTCTGGATGGTCCCAGACAAACTGATGGTGACTTACTCAGGCCATGGATTTGGACATCGAGAGTGACTTAAAGCAAAGTTAGTGACTCCTGAAGGCTCAGCATTTGGGGGTCCGTGCCCTACCCCTGGTCTAAAGAGCCAGGTGTTTTCCAAGTTAAATTCCAATGATAGAATATCAAAGGAACTGCTTCTCTACCACCTTTGTATAATGTCAGGTGCTAAGATACTCTTAATAAATCATTCCTGATGATAATGATGATAAGCAAGGTGACCTCTTTCCAGAGATTAACATCCACAATTAGCTACTTGGGAATTAGGATACACTGTTATTTACTGTCTAACCCATGCTGTTGAATAGAGTGGCCACCAGCCACGTGTGACTACTCAAATTTAGATGGAATAAAACAAAAAGTTGAGTTCTTCAGTCATACCGGCTGCATTTGAAGCACTCAGTAGCCACATACGGCTAGTGGTTGCCCTTTAGGGCAGCACAGATACGGAACATTCCCATCATCACAGAAAGTTGCTTTGGACAGTGCTGTTTTTCCTATGTAAGAGCTCATGGCTTAAACACGAAAAT